TGGGTCAAGGCAGTTGGTGTCAACCACGCCTGACTCTACCAGTGACAAAATTTAAAATTGGGACCCAGTGACTGACTAGAACATATATTTGTAGGTGGGAAGTGTAGTTTGCACTAGTAGTGGTGGCGTGTGTTGGTAGCCACATCAGTAGGTGGCTTGTGTCGGTGGCTCTATTTGTGGTAGTTTCAAGAATTCTCCAGTGTGGTGTGGAGAAATTACGCGCAAGACTGTGCGTCTGTGAGACTGTGAGAATGTGAGACTGTAAAGTCTTTGTGGGTCTGTGGGACTCTCTCAGCTTGTACTCAAGCAGTGAGATGTGGGTCAGTTTAAAAAAGATCTGGTGTTCCGGGACTCCCGGTTCCCATTTCCCACTCTCTGGTAGCTCTGATCTGACTGACTGTCTGACTGACAGAGATACCTGTTGGCATGCCACATGACGATGATACTTGATACTTTAAAAAAAGGGCGTACATAACTATAAGTGACTGGGACTATGACAATAACTGTGAGTGACGTATGTGCGTCTATACTCTGTAGATCTGTAGAGTGTATGACTGTAAGTACTTAAACTTTTTTTAAAAGCAGAGACTGTCTCTTGTGTCTCAGGCTGTTAATTAATTAGACCTCAACTAAAGTCTGAAGTCGGCTGTGAAGTTGCTAAAGTGACAGTGTGACAGTTTGACAGACTCTGGCACTGTGCTCTCTAGTCTCTAGTTCTCTACTAGTTGAGTAGACTGTTGTGTGAATGTATGTATTTCAAAATAGTCAGATATATAAATAGTGTGCAACTGTGAGTCTGTGCGTGAGTGACTATTAAAAAAAAAAGGAAATAAATGTTTTTTGTTTTTAACTTCCGTATTGTTTTAAAAAACAATTGACATTTCTTTTTAAAAACCATACAAAAAGTTTTAGAAAGAAATAGATAGTTCATTTTGGGTCGATTTATACCCAATGAAAGCGTTTTTTTAAAGGAAAAGATTTGAAGCGCCAGTCCGCTTGCTCACAGAGACTCAGTGATCAGTCACTCAGACAGTCGGTCGTTACTCTTTACATTCTGATCACAGTATTTGTTGTTTTTAAAAAATAAATAAATTGTGAAACATTTCTTCTTTTCTTATGTCACTCAATCTGTCACTATAGAAATAAAAATATGTTTTATTTTTAAAATAAAGATAAAAAATGAATAGTAAAAACAAAAACAAAATGAATAGTTTTTTTATAACATACAAATATAGGTATCGCCAATTGGCAATTCAAAAACTAAAAAGGGATTTAGTCAATTACAGTGTGGCAGAAATATAATTGCAAAAGCAATTGGTCGAAACAAAGTACAAACGTCTACTCTGGAGCATGTTTTTGACTGGTTGCATTTAAAAAAAAAAATCTTCTAACGGAAGGTCTGACGTCTGTAAGTCTATCACTCTTGTCTCTTCCCAGAGAGGGATATGTATCACGTTTCCCCGAATCCCATGTTGTGTTGAAATCTGTCTGTACGACTCACTCACTTTACGACTGTACGCTACTGGAGTCTGGAACTGCTTCTAAGTTTCACGGTCTACTTTTGATATTAAAAATGAAAAAGAGCAATACAGGTAAATACATATCTGAGAGACCGATTGTCACTATTTGACGTCATAGTCATACACATCGTGACACATATTTAAAAATACCATGATTCAAGTGTGCGCCAATTGTTGTTAAAAAAAATAAAATTCCAAGAGTCAACACTCCAGTAACGCATCACAATAGTCAACAACTCTGGACTCAACAGTCAACACTATTGTTTTTTTTTAAATCAATAAAAAATAGCAATTTAGAACTTCAGGGCCAGGGGCCAGGCTCATGGTCCAGAGACTGGAGATACAAATCATCAATCAAAGTGAAGGTCTTTCCGATCTATTTACATTCCTCTGTGAACTTCAAAAGTCTGAACTCTGAAGTCTGAAGTTTGCACCAGTAAATATTAAATATACAAACTATGTCTATTTTTTAGAAGGCTATGATTATTTATATCAATATAAATTACAAGCAAATTAAGTTTTATGACATATGAGTCATATTGTAATGACAAAAATAGAGTCACTCGAAAGGAAGGAGAACGCTAATAAAGATAAAATAAATAGAATGCTTATTTTAGAAGGCTGTGAATAAGATCTCATACCATTTGTTTAACATGAGATTTAATTAATGTAGGTCGTTTTAGCGACCAATGACTATGTCTATTACTTCTGCGCTTATGGTCGTATCGACAAGGGAAGAAAGCGTACGGCCAGTTAGGTTAAGATGATGAACAGCTGCCACCAGCTATTCGTCAGTAGATATCTCCTGCGGAGTGGCTGTCCGTTTTGTTTAAAAAAACCCCTCTCCCAAATTACTTGTACAAATGTACATACATATTTATAATATAAAAATATTGCAAATACTAAATATATAGAAATATATACTTTATTTACAAATAGAAAGAAGAAGGAATTTACATATTTAAATACGTACTGTAATATCAAAAATCTCGGTCTAAATACATGTGTATTTTTTCTTTTTTAAAATAAATACAAATACGAAATCTCTTCCGATTTTAAAATTTAAACTCAACTTACTGTCAATACTTAAATTCTTGACTTTACACGAACTTCTTGTATTCCATGAAGATTTCTATGCACACATATGTCACAGTAAGTATTATGTTTTGCAGTACATATTACATAGTACGTAATAGTTCATAATCTGAAGTTCATGCATCATAAGAATCGTTGTAGACTTGTGTAGGTCCATTAAGATTGCCTACTACTCTTCTCTTTAGTAGAGATCTGTAGTAGAGAAAGAATGAATAAAGTCCAATACTGATCCAAAACTCGAGAGTCTCGAACACTTGACTCTCGAGAGTCTCGAGCAGCAGCCAGCAGGGCACACCGGCACAGGGCCACAGGCCCGTCAGGCGTCAGCAGCTGACGATGCATATTCATTATTCTAGTAGTACGAGATAATCCAAACTCCAGTTATGGTGCAGTTGCCTTTTATAAAAAAGATGTTCCACTAAACCATCCTTTTTGACAGGGGCCATGGGAGTTCAAATACGGACCCGATTCGAGAGTTTGATATTGGAAAATGCTCACAATGACCTGAATAAGATTATCACCCGGACACTTTTTGGATTTTACAATTGGTTCAAAATCCAATCCTGACCAAATTCGAAAATATTGGCCGTTTTCTTGGTATGTGCCCTTGCAGTACGAATTTTGAATTTTGAGGTCAGAAATCGACATGCCCGGTCACCACTGAAGTCTGTCGAAGTGTCACAATATTCAAAACATCATTCCATCAAGCCTAAAAGTCTACTTTGCCGACTGCAACAAGAAAATAGTAGACACATATTGTAATGATTGTTGTACATGCCTTCTTGACCACACAGTATGTACAATGTTTTTCGAAGTCAGATATCTTATTGTTTCGCTCACATACCTCCTGTATCAAAGATATCATATCTTTGATACAAGAGATATGTGAGCGAAACAATATTATTTGCGTCTTTCTACCTAAATTCCATTGCGGATGTAGCCCAATAGAACGTTATTGGGGTTGGACAAAATTCGACGTTATAGAGCGCTTGATAGTAAAATGACACTATGTATTTTATATATGTAGCAATGTATCACTGTTTACTAACGTACATAGGCTTCAATTAAAGATCTCGGTTTCCGCCGTAAAACAAGGTAAGTCATGCCAGGTCTGTAAAAGAAATGTAACTTCAAATCGGCTGCCGACTACAACATGTACCACATGTGGGGTGTAGGGCCAAGAATCTAATGACCGTTCCCAAGTGCAGCAATGGCCGCCCAAGGTCAGTATAGTGGCCACTTCAGAAATGGGCGATATATTTGTTTAAAAATAATGCAGTTTTAGCTGCCTTTCAACAGGACTTTAGTCCGTTGTGGTATTTATAAATATTTTTATTCTCTAGAGGGTCATGAACATATTTTTAACAATCACCACTGCGAAACCCGATTTGTCAATTTTTTCAATTTGTGAATAGACTTTTCGATTTTTGTCTTGGAAAATAGCAACTGCACATTACCAGTGACTGTACGGCTATACCAAAACACTATTTTAGAAAAAAGTAAAAATATTACAAAAAGTTGAAAAAGGGCCGACGTGTCTCGAAAGTTGCACTTTAGTTGTCGCAGGTGGGCCATAGGTGCATTTTTTTACGTAGTACTCAGGACTATAGGTACCTAAATACAACATAGCCCTTTTTTTAAACTATACAAAAATTAAAGTTGAAAAAGGGCCGACGTGCCTCGAAAGCCGCATTTTCAATTTTTACACCAACTACATACTCAGGACTATAGGTATTTACATAAATTTAAACAACAATACATAAACCTGTGTATATTGCAAAATGAAATGTTTTTGTTTCTGTTTGTTTTTAAAAACAAAAACAATAAAAACGAGAACAATGACTTTCAAAAACCTAAAAAGCTACAATTGTGTGTTTTTGTTTTCTATTGGAAAGAAAAAGCAAGGGAAAAATTGAATTTTATGTATTTAGAGTGAAAAGTGAAACTAGATGATCTGAATATTTTTATAATCTGCAGTTCTGCACATCTTACTTTTTATTTTGTACTGAAACCGAGCAAGTCTCGTTGTGACGTCAACGGTATGACTCCAGGAGTCGTTGTCCTTATTTAGTGCTGGTAGTCCTTTTATAAAAATAAAAAAGCAAAAGTAAGATTCATCATTCATCGATAGAATAGTCATCTACAGATTTTATCGAAGATATGTTTCTTAAAAAAAGATATAAAAAGACTAAGTTTTGTGTCTCTCTGCTCTTGAGTGGAAGTCGTAACTCGTTTGCAGTCACTATCACTGTATCACATTTGATGCAAGACTGCAAATCGGCAGATTTTAGTAGCAACAAATTTTGTTAGAAATTCACATTTATTGTTATTTTTAGAATATATATAGCTTCGATTTATACGGAGCACAAGACACAGTCTTTTACACAAAACTGAATACAGTACAAGTTTCTGTATCCCGTATATTCTATTCTACCAAAGATGCAAAACGCACTGAAGAGTGTCTTTGCGTCCCTGTTGGTGATTTCACTGACTGGGGTGACACTCGCTCAAGAAGTGGACGGGTGTCTCGATGAGAATGCCTGTTTTGGTGGAGAATGCACTGCCACAGATTTGGCAACAGGTGCTTTCGAATGCGAATGCCCAGATGGGTTTTCGCCGTTAACAAATTGCGAGACTAGTATTTGCGAAACTAATGCCGATTGTACCGAAACGCAGGATTGCATAGATGATGTGTGCATATTTCAGGAAGATCCCTGTGCGGACTGTACCGAAACACAGGATTGCGTAGATGATGTGTGCGTAGATCAGGAAGAACCAGAAGTTGAAGATCAGGAACAGCCAGAAGTTGAAGATCCATGTGCGGACTGTACTGAAACTCAGGATTGCGTAGATGGTATGTGCGTAGAAAAGGAAGAACCAGAAGTTGAAGATCAGGAACAGCCAGAAGTTGAAGATCCATGTGCGGACTGTACCGAAACTCAGGATTGCGTAGATGATGTGTGCGTAGATCAGGAAGAACCAGAAGTTGAAGATCAGGAACAGCCAGAAGTTGAAGATCCATGTGCTGACTGTACCGAACCTCAGGATTGCGTAAGTGGTGTGTGCGTAGATCAGGAAGAACCAGAAGTTGAAGATCAGGAACAGCCAGAAGTTGAAGATCCATGCGCGGACTGTACTGAAACTCAGGATTGCGTAGGTGGTGTGTGTGTAGAAAAGGAAGAACCAGAAGTTGAAGATCAGGAACAGCCAGAAGTTGAAGATCCATGTGCGGACTGTACCGAAACTCAGGATTGCGTAAGTGGTGTGTGCGTAGATCAGGTAGAACCAGAAGTTGAAGATCAGGAACAGCCAGAAGTTGAAGATCCATGTGCGGACTGTACTGAAACTCAGAATTGCGTAGATGGTGTGTGCGTTGAAAAGGAGAACCAGAAGTTGAAGATCCATGTGTGGACTGTACCGAAACTCAGGATTGCGTAAGTGGGGTGTGCTGTG